CTTATCCAACTCAATTTGAATTTTTTCTTTTATAATTAAATAAATAGTTCCGCGTGTTAGAATTGTAAGTTTCCAAAAATCAGTCGTTTTTTTTTGAAATCTAGAAATGTTTTTTCAATGTGTGAAATAAAAAAAAACATAACTCAAGAAAGCGCTGGTTTAGATATAAGTTCAGAACGATTGTTTCCTCTGGATAATGTGTGAATCGCCGTGTCCGTGTAGAAAAGGCATATCTATTTTAGAACTCTTATTTGATTAGATACATCTCATGATTTTAATCTTGAAAATAAAATAAAAACTGAATCCAAAAAATTCTAAAATATTTAATTTAACAGACTTCTTAACTTTGACTGGATTCCGGCCAAAATATCCTCAAAATGATCAGTCATTTTCGCAAAATCAATGTTTTAAACACACATCGGCATCAATCATTACTTCAGTAATATTATGAGAAGTTGCACCTTACAGTAATTAACACTTCGTTACTCGCATGAAACTGCCCGACGTGGTTACTCGCATCACGGCGCCGTGCCGTAATGTAAATCTGAGCGCGCCGTTGCCACAATTGATTCGAAGAGTAGACTCGATGATCTGCCGGCAGCTCCGGCAGCCACAAGTGTGGCAACACCGTGTGGAATATTTCCGTGATACGATCAATCGCATCGCGGCACCGCGTCGTATTTTCGATTTCCAGTTAGCATGGGAGTGAATTTTATCTAACCAGGAGCTTTGGCGCGGTCCCGTGGATCCAAGTAACGAAGGGCTAAGATTCCCTAATCTTCATTGTAATTTTAAAAATAATGTCATAATTGGTAATTTAATCTCTCAATTATTGCTTGATAAAATAATTCGGAATTTGAATATTTAAATTAATGGTTATTTTAATAATCAAAAAATTGATGAGTAATATTAACAATTGATTTATTCTGAAGTTAACTGTAATTCAAAATTATGATTATGGCGATGTTTGGTGTTAAATAATGATTTCCTTTTATTAGAGTGACAAATGGGAATAGGTGAAAATTAAACTATCATAGTTTTGTTGATTGATGTAAGAAAGGAAGGACCATCATATTTGTAGACACAGTAGACTGCAAATTTATTGGCAATTAGAGTAACATTTAATTTTTTTTAAATAAAAATTCACACGGTGAAAGAATTGATCAAACACATTCGAGGGCATATGACTAATGGTAAATACTATCGAAGTGTCCTCCATCAGAATTTGCGCAATAGTCAAGGCGTTTCTGAAAACTATGGAAGACTCTTCAATTTTAGCTTGAGAAATATTAGAAACGCCCTTCTGGATAGCGCTTATCAGAGCCTCTTTTGTCTGAGGATCGTCCGCGTAACAGAAGTCTTTGAGATAACCCTACAAGAAGAAATCACACGGGTTCAAATCCGGTGAGTATGGTGGCCATTCCATCCCTGCTCGGGCGAAACGAGTATGCCCTAAGCCGATGACGCGATCACCGTATACTTTGTGCAATGCAGCAAGCACATCATTAGTTCGACGAGGTGTTGCACCGTCTTGCATAAAATAGAAATCTTTCACCAATCCTTTTTTCTTAACGAATGGGAAAAAATTGGTTTCCGACATCTCTCGGTAACTCTTCCCTGTAATGGTCCCTTCCAAGATTTCCACATGTATTTGTTTGATCGACAGAACTGCCCAAACTGTAACTTTAGTAGGGTGGAGCGGTTTTGCTACTGATGAATGTGGATTTTCACTCCCCCAAAATCGATAATTTTGTTTATTCACGTAGCCATTAACGTAGAAATGAGCTTCATCCAAGAAAATAATTCGATTGGCTTCGATTTCAGCATTTTCAAACATTTGCGTCAAAATTTTGCTGAGTTCAAGTCGTTTCCCTATAGCAGCTTGCGTAAGCAATTGGTGGGAAGTGATTTTATAAGGATGAAGTTTGAGGAAATGTTTAATTATCAAACGTAGGGTCTCTCGGTTCAATTCTAACGTCGTAGCCGCCTTGCGTATTGACTCAGTTGGATGATTTTTGAAATGTTTTTCCACCTTTTTCACTACTCCTGCCGTCGTTACTGTATAAGATGGACGCGGAAGATCATGGCGACGATCCTGTAGGGTACCATATTTGACAAAATTATCAATTACCCTACAAAAAGAACACATTGACTCAAAAAATTTATTGGGGACTAACCTTAAAAAGAAATCGTGGAGAAGAACTAAAAAATTCCTACTGTTTGAGAGTGGTTCCACTCCCAATTTTGGGACTACCAAACTTACTACGAAAGCCTCTATACGCATTTGTGTAATTTTTTTCTCGGAAATACTAGCACTCAAAGAGATACACTTTTTCTTCGACAGTAAATAAAATGACTCATTTTAGAAAATATGAACTAGACCCTGGAGTGTCCCAACAGAATTTGCCAGGCTCCAAGTTTTAACCTACAACAGCCCGATTCGTGGTGACAAAGTGGAGAAGGAAATATAGGGGAAAAGTTTTCACCTATTCCCATTTGTCACCCTGTAGTTACAAAAGGAGATAATTATTCCTTCCCAATGACTTTTTTTGACTGTGTAAAAGTGTATTCATAATTTGTGTGTATAAATAATGGATAATTTTCCTATTTGAGGAATTAAATAAAATTAGGGGAATACGATTACATAATACGTTAGTTATAATTTTCAGTGATTTTAGCTTAAACCCATAATTGCGCTCAAGTGAACACCCATTTCCGCATACAGTAAACAAATCTTGGCTTTACATAAAAAAAAGCTAATTCCTGATTTCATGATTTTTTGAGATTTAAAATTAATCCACTCATGTTGCAAATATCTTTTGAAATGTCTCTGAAATTGCAAATTCAATCTCAATGTAATTCATAATTCCTCTCTTGTTAAACATATATGACGTAACACCTTGACTCGATTAATATTGAATTAATGTTTAATTAATCCTAAAATTTATCGCTCTCGAATGTTCCCAGTTCAAGAATGTAAATTTCGCGAGGTGACAAGTTAATTGCTCAAAATCTGTTTTTTAAATAATTAATTAGTTCCATTCTAATCACAAAAGGAAATGATTTTTTGAAATTTTAGAGTCATTTTCCCACAGTGAACGATTTCCCTATTTGAGGAATTGAATAAAATTGGAAGAATACGATTACACAATCTTCTATTTATGTTTTTTCTGCTGTTTCACGCAATCTCATCCATTCTTTCATAATTATCGATGGACTCGAATGATGTACACGAGTTTTATAACACGTGATGACGTGATGAAATTATGAAATACATCTCATGCCTCGTAACTTCATCCTTCAAAGTGTCACGAGCAATTTACTGATTTTATTCAGTTATCAAGTGATGATCCGATCAATATTAGAAATATTGTATGTTACGACTAAACTGCAATTGAGCCGTTGAGTGTAACGAGAATAAATGAATTTTAAATTTGAAAAAAAATTATTTACCATTCATATATTTTTTTACATTTTAAATTCATTTTCATTCATTTTTTTATATTATATACAAAATTAATCTATCAAATTTTTCGAGTCTCTCATTTGACTAGGGTGTTTCTCATAATCCGCTATTTCAGTGAACCCAGAAATACAAATTATTTATTGGACAAGATTGACACTAATGATAATTTTCATCAAGTGCATAAATTTTCTTTTTTTTTCTGATTTTTTCCAACTATCAATCGTCTCCCTAGCCTTGAAAATTTCATTTTCTCATAAGACTCTGTGTTATTCATCTAATTAGAATTTTGATAATTAATTATTATCAATAATAGACAGTCGATTGAGTGCAAACTCAACCAGAATTTTTCTACTAATATTTTTTTGACCATTTGTATACTGCATAATTGTTGATGTTCAAAGAATGGCCTAAGCGGTCCTCAGCAATTTTAAGGCAGTTTGAATCAACGACGAATGTCTCAAAGTGTAAATTTTCCCAACGTTTCGACTCACAAGGAAGTCCTCATCAGGGGATTTTCATTTATTCTTCTAAATCAATTAAAAAAACCTCTTTTACACAAAATTCAACGAGGTGACGGAATATCAATAAAAATAATACATACTGATCGTTAAAGGTACGGATATTGGTATAAATTTCTTAAAATTGCTGAGGACCGCTTAGGCCATCCTTTGAACATCAACAATTATGCAAAAATTTTCTATTTATATTGACTTCCGTTTAGAATTAATTTCAGATTTTAAATTCAGATTTTTAAAAATCGATTTTTTTACTTTTTCTATAGCATATTTTCTACTGACCATTTCAATAGAATCGGCCAAAAACTAATAGCAAGTTCAATAGAAATCAAGGATAGGCAATAATATTAGATTTTGGCAACATTAAAAAGGATTATCTCGTTATATTGTTGAAAGTTTAACTATATTTACCAAATTTAAAATACTATAGAATTTATTAGCTAAGTTTTTCGATTGATGGTGAATAAAGTATTTGATAATACTAAAATGTAATTTTTTGGTTACCAAGCTAATTCTAACTTTAGGTACTTGATTTTCGATTATCCAAATAATCGTCAATCTTCCTACCTAAATTATCGTTTGATGGAATATTTCGGAATTTAATTGTACAAATTGATGGTTACTTTAATATTTAAAATTTCAAGATTTATGTTAAACATTGACAGCTTCACAATTTAACGGTAATTATAGTTGGTTGATATGCCTATCACTGATAGAAATCCAATAGAATTGTCTAGCGAATTCGCTGGGCTTTTTTATTAAATTCTTTTGTCCATGTTGAACTGTTCATTTTCTCATAAGACTGCGTTATTTTGGGACTTGTAAATGAATTATTATCAATAACACTAGTCTAGGCACAAGCTTTACGAGAATATCTCTATTCATATTGACTTCCGTTTAGAATTCATTCAAGATTACGATCATCAAAGTTCAAGTTATGTTTATACTACTTAAAATTCCAAGGATTCTCTTCATGATTTCTATAAATTAACTCACACGTTGCAGATGGCAGCAGTCGCTGAAGTGTGTGCTCTCCTCTCCGGGGTGCTCCGGGGGCCGAGGTAATCGTAACAAAGATGGCTGCTTCCAACTCGAGTATATCAAGTGAATTTGGAGAGAAGAAGGAAGATGAGTTTAACGAATTTTACACTGAAGTGAGTCAAGACATTGATTAGTCAATAAATAACAAAATATCCGCAGAATTATCTCCCCAGAATGTTCTCCCGTGTCTTCTCACAACACCATGAAAAAGGGATCTGAAGAGTTCCGAAAATGTCACTTGTATTTACCTGTATTGTTTATATTCGTAAATTACAAATTACTAATTAACAAAATATATCGACGACTGCGTTCTAGGGATTGAGTTCTTTTTTATTGGGGTAGTTTTATTCTGGGCTTCGGTAATTCTGCAAGAACTGCATGGAGCTAACCTCTCCGCTAAAGTTTTGTTGGCATTGTGAATAATTGACATGTGAATTTCATCCTCAGGTCAAAGAGATTGAGAAACGCGATTCTGTACTCACGCCACAGCAACAAATCGAAAGATTACTACGTCCTGGGTCATCGTACTTTAACCTGAATCCATTCGAAGTACTTCACATTGATCCTACTACGACGATTGAGGAAGTGAAGAAGAAATATCGTCGAGTGAGTTCCTTTAAATTACTTTAATCAAATGCGGTGAATCCAAAATTTACTCAACTTTACACTGAGCGAAAAAACATGCAGTGGCCGAGCCTTTCTGTCAGAAGGCATGTGATCATTACTTGATGCGTTATTTGCCTTTTTCATTTTTCATTTCTGTCAATTCCATTGGTAGTAAACTTCTGAATGGATCCGCAGAAATTTCATTATTTCATTGAAAAGTGGCAATTTTCATTGAAAACGTTTCCTCCAAACGTTTGACCGTCCAAAATTGAGAATTCAATTTCGGTTTTATCCAGTGGGATAGGCATATTTACACGACCCCATTTTTAAGAAATGTTTCTATGTGAAAATCAATGATAGAACAACGAGATGAAATTTTCTGCGAAAAACGTTTTTACATCGACTGCTCTATTTCAAAAAGTATTGACTCGATCAATCTGAAATTTCACACAGGAGCGCAACTTGATGATACTAGATAGGAAACATCAAGACGAATATTTTGAAAAAAAATTGAAATCGGATGAATAGTTTTTGAGATATTGAACAATGTAGTTTTATTAAAACAATTGAATATCTTTAAAACTACTCATTCGATTTCGCCCATGTGAAATCCCAGCCTGTAATATAGTAAGAGAGCTAGAATCCTACCAAATTTCAACTTCCTATCTCAATTCTTTGAAGCATTATCGTGTTCACATCAATTTTATCAGAAAAATGAAAAATGTTAATTACCGGGCGACTCTCAATGGTTAGTCAGGTATATTATGATCCGATTCGATAGATATTATCATATGGAATATTTTGACGCCAAAAAAAGTTCATTTGATGCAGTAGTTTTCGAGATCTTGAGTAAAGAAAAATTTTTCAGAATCACTGTATCTCAAAAACTACTGGACAGATTGAGCTGACAAAATTTCGCCCAGATGTGCTTCCAAACAGTACCAATTATGAGTCAAAATTTCAGATTTTTATCTATCACTTTAGTCCTTTTTTTGTAAAAATTTATTTTTAAAAATCCCAGAATTTTGCACGCACATACGGACGTACACACAGACATTCTTTAAAAACATCATACCTCGATGTTTCATGGCATTCTAAGTCATTTTCAAGAAAAATTAGAGAATCGAAAAATCGACCGGTTACAAACCTTCCATTCGGAAGCAAAAACAGGTTCTTAATTATCAACAGGAGTGTAAAATTAATTGTTTTTGCATATGAAGAGATTTTTCAATAGAAAATTTTCATTGAGTGACAAAAATATGTTTTCGAACGAGTTTCGTTTGAAGAAAAAAGTTAATCTATCTATGTTCGTTTAGATGTTGTCAGCTATCACATTTTAACCATTTTGACAGTCCCAAGAATCTATTAAGGATGTGTTACACCCTTTTCGCCACAATTCATGTCTTTTGAATTTTTCTGGTAAATTGTTGATCGGATAGACGTGAACAAATATACCGTTTTTGCGTTTTATCATTACTGAATGACTCACGAAATTTTATGATCGTGCAATCATTTTCCTGCGTTTTTTCTAAAAAATTTCGGAAATTTAAAAACTTTAGAAAAAATACAGGAAAATCATTGCACTACCATGAAACTTCGTGAGTCAGTCAATAATGATAAAACGCAAAATCGGTGAAGTATTTCGCGTCAATCCAATCAATAATTTGTCAGAAAACTGAAAAAAACGGGAATTTTGGCCGAAAGGGTATAGTACATCCTTAAGATTGAAATACGATTCAAGTTATTATTTTGGTTAATAAGAAAAGTTCTAGACACCAATGAACAGTGATTTATTGAATAATAGGAGAGAAAAATGCCATTCACATTTGCAAGTTAAGAAACTCACAATTTTTAAATGTTGACATCTTTATAATACTAAAATGGGATTAAAAATCCCTTGACTGAGGTTTCGAATAGTTAAAAATTTGATAAGAATGCATAAATTATAGTAACATCCGGATATTTCTCGGAAATATCGCCAATTAAAAGAATAGGTACAATGAAAATGGCATTGATCCTACGCTCGTTTCGCAACCAACTGTCAACTGGTAACAGACTAATCGGATGAAAAAATCATTTAAAAGGTTAGACTGTCCAATAGAAATATCATTTTGTGCCTCGAGATATTTTTTAATGTTTTATCAAAAAATAGGATACTCACGATGCAATTAGTTCTCATATAACCTTTCCATATCACTAAAATCACGGGACGAGGAGAGGGACATGTTTCAACCGAACATGGGGACAAGTGAGCGAGCGTATGGACATGGGACTTTTCACATTTATAGACGATTATTTATTAAAAAATAGTAATTATCATGATTAATATAAGTAAATTCCAATTCTGAAGGTTTTACCCTCTGACTTCTAATTTAAATTATCGCATCTTCACGCTCGTTTCGATAGGAATATTGGACTTTATTGACAAAATAAAAACTTGTTGCCAGTGAATGGATATTTGGCAAAAACAATTTTTTATCTCAGTGTAAGGGTAAATGTACCTATGCTCGTTCAGATGCTGCTAGCTGTCATATTTTAATCGTTTTGACAGCCCCAAGAATCTATTACGATTGAAATGCGATTAGAGTTATTGCTTTAGTTAATAAGAAAAGTACACATATGCACACATACATACATACATACATTCGGACATGGTCTAAAAATCACATCTCCGAACGCCTGATTTGGACCACCTAGAAATGACTGGCCTGGAGAAATTCGTTTTTGAAAAAAAAAATTTCTTCTCAAGAAAATGATCTATTGGTCAACAATCTTTTTTCTCTCAACGTACCCTCCATTATCTCCACCAACTTCGCAATGTTGACAAAATATTAACCCTGATTGTTCCCACAGATGTCAATTTTGGTGCATCCAGACAAAAATCAAGACGATGCAGAACGAGCTCAACAGGCTTTCGAAAGTAAGAAATCAGAATGAAGACCTCAATTAATTTTACACTCATCAACAACAATTAATCCTCATTTTTTCGTATTTTCAGTCGTCAATAAAGCCTGGAAAACTCTGGAAAACGAAGAATCACGAGCCAAGTGCATGGATGTTATCGAAGAGGCGAAAGCACGCACAGATCATATGGTAAGCATTCCACACTCATTAGAAAACAATTGAAATCTAATTATTGAGCGTGACAATACAATCATAAATATTGGATACTTATTCTCTCATTTTGATAAACCATCAAGAACGAATGCACTAACAAAGCGGTAAAACGGATTAAGTCGTCTTAATCCATAGTTGAGTTTTCGAGGAATATCTTCGAATCTAAGGGAGATAACAGAATTTTCGTAATTACCTTGTTTGAAATTCAGCTATTCAAACTAGTCAAACGGTCATCGGGCTCAACGGAAATCTCGAGAAACTTCGGGACCCTTCGGGGTCACAGTCAACTACGAAGAAAATCCCCGAAAAAGTCTGTAGTATCGCTCTAGCCACCGAGAGAGTCACTCTAATCACAGTACTGTATCGCCGTAACCGCTCAATCGAGTACATCACCGGAGTACATCAACGCGATACATTTGAGTCTAGCGCTTTGTATAGCGTCTCTATTTAACTCAATTCAATTATCAATTAATTCCGAGTTAACTATCAATTATTTTGAGTCAATCATCAAGTTCAATATCGAGAGAATCTCAAGTGCAGTGCATTTTTCAAACCATCATTTTTATTGACTTGTCGAGCAACTCAACAGTGTAACATTATTAATTTATCAAGACGCGTGGGTTATTCCACAATAAAGTACATCAACAGTGTGGTTTTATAATTCCGCGTGTTTTAATTTTCCACCTCCTTTCACAATCCCACTTTTCCCCAACCGGCATCTCAATTTAGCTTCAATCTCAAACATACCTTTTTTGTAGGGCGACTTGAGGACTACATAAAAGGTCATGACAAAAATTTTGCTATTTCCCTTAGACTCCGAGATATTCATTGAAAACTGCCCAATAGTCAACATCGACTTGAACCGTTTCAAAAAACATCAGAAAAAATCTGCGTCCAGTTGTGAAGTCACGTCAATGCGGATAATGTGCCACGCATGACATCATGATGTTGATTTTTTGCACTGGATATAATAACTAGTTTCGTATTATTTGAAAAAAAAGGGAAAATACCTATCTAGTATGTCTCATTTGTCCATTCATTCATTCACGATTCATCATTTAAAAAAACTTCTCCAATCAGATTTCCTTATTTCATTCATCCATTTCGAAAGAAAATAGTGTGAGAATGATATATGGAAAACTCCTCATTATAATTTTATAAATTGATATCGAAAAAATATCTTGTGTCATTGAATAAAATAAAAATGGTAAATCAAAATAACAGATAGCCGAGAAGAAGAAAAAATTGAAGAAAGAAGGCAAAGAGGGTGCAGCTGTTCCAGTGCTTGAAGAAGAGACTGAAGAAGGTTACAGTCATGCTGTGTGGGTGATGACGATGAAATTATTCGCAGACATGGAACGTAGAAGGTAACAACTTCAAAATATCTATTTTACTATATTACAGGCTGAGATTTCAGATGGGCGAAATCGATTGAGTAGTTTTAAAGTTATCCAATTTATTGTATAAAACTATATAGTACAATATCTCCAAAACTATTCATTCGATGTCAATTTTTTTTTCAAAATATATATACCCGTTTCTACAAAGTTCACGAGATATTGTCGTTTTTCAATTTTTCTTGTTTGAAAGTTGCTTTGACTTTCCATTACATGAGTGAAGGACGTGCTAAAGTTCCAAAATGTTGAGGACTAGTTAGTATCATCGAGTTGCACTCCTGTGTAAAATTTCAGACTGATCGATTCAATATGTTTTGAAATAGAGCAGTTGATGTAAAAAAGGTTTTTCACATAAAATGATGTATCGTTGTTCCATTATTGATTTTCACATGGAAACATTTCTTAAAAATGGGGTCGTGTAGATATGCCTTTCTCACTCGATAAAACCGAAATTGAATTCTCAATTTTAGAAAGTCAAACGTTTCGAGGAAACGTTTTCCATAAAAATTGCCACTTTTCCATTAAAAAATGAAATTTCTGCGGATTCATTCAGAAGCTTACTACCAATGGAATTGGTAGAAATAAAAAAATGAAAAAGCCAAATAACGCATCAAGTAACGATCACATGGCTTTTAACAGGCTCGGCCTCTGCTTGGTTCTATGAAGATTTATAACAATTTTTTGACAAATTCGCATACACCCGGACATACATGCACACATTTTCTAAAAACGACTTATCTTAACCTTTTATGACATTCTACGTCATTCCCAGGCATAATTAGAAAATCGTTAAAATCAAAGTCTTCAAGTGCTTGCAATTGTGAACGAACACCATAAAAAAAAATATTTCTCAAAGTCATTGAATTAACAAAAAAAAAAAATTATTTCTAGACGAGAACTAGCAATGAGAGACGCAGAACAACGCAAACGTAAACGTGAAGAGGAGCTCAGTGCAGAGGCCCAAGCAGCAATGGAGAAAGAGTGGCAGAAAAATTTCGAAGAGTCTCGGCAATCGCGTGTTGACAGTTGGAAGGCATTTCAATCGGGTTCAGGTGCAGCTAAACAGAAGAAGACGAAAAAACTTAAGGCCTTCAGGCCACCAAAAACGAAAGCCGAATCACGATAATGAATTACGAGTAATAATACCCTTTGGCCTGCGGCCAAATATAATTTCTCCGATTGAAATTCAAAATAGTTACTGTGTGACTGCAGTGATTGATCAATTTGATAATTGAATAAATTTTCCTTCTCATAACATTCTCGATGTACAAGTAAATGCAATGGAGACCATTACTGTCGAATTTAATCAATCAAAATGAGAAATAAGTCGTTATATGCTCAAAATATCATTCGCCATAATCTCAATGATGTAATTTTGACTTAAATAAACTTATTTGTACACTCGAGAACACCTATCAATGCTGTTAATGAGACATTATGAGATATGAGGTCGTAATTTTCATAATTCAATCATCAAAACTTGTAGTGAATGAAAAACTAAATGATTTGAGTGTGAAGAGAGCGTAAATTAATATAATGTATGAATGAATATGGAAAAAACTATGTATATTTAGTATTTGAATGGAAACATTTGAATACTTACTTACAACTTGAAGAAAATGCAATTGAATTGTCATGGAGTCTATTTACCACTTAAAAATGAATTCTCATATTTTTTCCCCCTCTGTGATTTTGTTCACAAATGCATCGTCCAAGTATACACTGTATCATTGTGTAATCACCAGTGATTTACGGACATACGAGGTAAAAATATTTTTCTAAAAATAATGGCAATTCATGATTTTCGGTGCGTAATATCCTTACGTCATTGTTAATTATTAAAATCGAGGGGAAAAGTTGATCAACATGGCGAGTTTAGAAATGCGAGCAATGAAGCAAATGAAACAAGATTTTTTAGTACATTAGTCAGTCTAGAAGAATAAGTGTAATTCTTCTGTTTTGAATGCAAATTAATTCTGATAAACATTGATTTTTTTATTCCATTCAAATTGAACAATAGAAATAAATCTAATTGAATGATTATGGATTCGGTCTCATTGATTTTTTCCAACAGAATAATTTTTTTTTATGCAGCAGAAAATCATTTCACTTGTGATTTTTCACAAGTGGCGGGCAACATTTTGCAGGAGGAAGGAAAAGAAAAACTTCAGTGGAAATTATGCTGCATTTGAAGGACGTGTTGAATACTGTAAATATGGGATTACAATATTAGATTGTTTTAAATTTATTTTAAGGATATCCAAGGATCTTTCACAGTTCAGTACAGACCACACTATATAGAGTCAACCACTTTCAATCATCAAATTTGTCAATTAAATGACGTGAGAAAAGATTGAAAAAAATCATGAATATTCAGCGTCACTCAAACTACATTTTGTACAGAATTATTATTTTTTTTAACATTCGTTGTTTATAAATAATAAAATGAGAACGTTTGATTATTTGTAAATAAACAGAATTATATTACAGAAAAAAATAATTCTGTTACTGAAAAATTATGCGCAATATTGAGCAATTATTCATGTTCACTGAGATAATCTTTTATGGAATGCATAGTAAATTTTACAGTTTACAGTTTTGGCACAAATCACCTTCACGTTCAGTCAATTTTCCTGGGCTCACGGAGAAAAATTCACTATTGTGCGAGAGGCACTTTTTCCCCGGTATGGGGCGAACAAGCACTGAAAATCGACTGCGCTCTACGATTACTTGACTTGTTCGGTAATTTGTCTGTTTTTTCTTCGTGTAGTTTATATTATTGCAGTCCTCGCCTTCGGGTCGGGCTGCAAACTCATATTCGCTAGGAATAGTATTCTTCAGCACTTGTGCGTAAAATCTCGCTTTCAACATATTGTGATGAAATATAGGGCTCGATACTCATGAGAAAGGTGTTCTTTGGCCCTTAGGAGTGTAGCTACACATTTCCCACAGTCCAAAAAACACTTTTTCTGTATTGCTTTTTTCATCACGTTGTGACGAAAAGTGAACTTTTCGGCACGCTCCGCGTGCCTAAAAGTCCCATTTCCGCCACATTGTGATGAAAAATATTGTTCGTAACTCGTGAAAAAATGTTTTTTTAGCTCGTGGGATTATATCACGAGCCGAAGGCTCGTGATATAAACCTCCCACTCGCCAAAAAACACTTTTTTGCACTCGTTATGAAATATACTATTTCATAACTTTTTCATAACTGCTGGTACGTTCAGCGCGTGTCGAAAAAAGCCTTTTCATCACGCTGTGACGAAAAGTGAACTTTTCGGCACGCTCCGCGTGCCTAAAAGTCCAATTTCCGCCACATTGTGATGAAAAATATTATTCGTAACCCGTGAAAAAATGTTTTTTAGCTCGCGGGATTATATCACTCGCCTTCGGCTCGTAATATAAACCTCCCACTCGCCAAAAAACACTTTTTTGCACTCGTTACGAAATATACTATTGCGTTTACTAGTAAACGAAAAGTCGAAACTTGTAAACGAAAAGAGTTTTCGTTTGATTCGTTTGATGATTATAAATTTGCATTCAAATTTACTAGTAAACGAAAAGTCGAAACTTGTAAACGAAAAGACTTTTCGTTTACTAGTAAATTTGAATGCAAATTTATAATCATCAAACGAATCAAACGAAAAGTCGAAACTTGTAAACGAAAAGACTTTTCGTTTACTAGTAAATTTGAATGCAAATTTATAATCATCAAACGAATCAAACGAAAAGTCGAAACTTGTAAACGAAAAGACTTTTCGTTTACTAGTAAATTTGAATGCAAATTTATAATCATCAAACGAATCAAACGAAAAGTCGAAACTTGTAAACGAAAAGACTTTTCGTTTACTAGTAAACGAAAAGGCGTTTTTCGACACGGGCTGAACGTAGCAGCAGGGACAAAAAATAGTATATTTCGATCCGAGTGACACAGAATTTTCACGAGTGTGAAGTTGGCGGCCCGAGGCGAAGCCGAGGGCTGCCAATCACACGAGCTGAAAATTCCTATCTCACATGTGTCAAACAATAGTTTTTGACAGTGATGTTACGTTCAGCGAGTGGCGAACTGTGCCTTTTTTCGTTTACTAGTAAACGAAAAGACTTTTCGTTTACGAGTAAACGAAAAGGCACTTTTCGACATGAGGTGAACGTAGCAGCAGTGTCAAAATAGTATATTTCGTTACGAGTGCGGAAAAGGGTTTTTTGGCTCGTGAGAGTTTATAGCACGAGCGAAAGGCGAGAAAAAACACTTTTCCCACGAGTATCGAACGATGTTTTTCATCACAATGTGTGGAAAAGGGAAGTTTTAGGCACGGGAAGCGTGCCTAAAAAGTTACTTTTTCGCACAGCGTGATGAAAAAGTATTATCTGACGAATGTGGCTTTATAATCCGAGCTGAAGGCGACTCAGATATACTTTTATCGCCGTGTAACATAAAATAAATAAAATACTATTTCGTCACTAGGAAGAAAGAACCGTTTCTAGCGAGTATGAGTTTACATATTCTTAACTATTACCACGATTCGTTAATAACAGTTAAGAAGCAACCTCGTTAACAGCAACTAAATCGTTCCACCTTTTTAATCAATGCGGATAATCCTCTGTGATTGTCCCGCTTGCCTGCCTCTCACTTTTCACCCTTGTTATTTTTCTGTTTGGCCCTTGCAATTATTTGACCCTTGACATTATCCAGCCTGTCTCTATTGTTTGACCCTTACAACTCATGGTGGTTGTAACATTTCACGTATGAAAAAACTTGGGCAATTCGCTAGAAAATTCTATTGGAATTCTCCAGAAATTCTATTGGAATTCTATTCAAATTCTAGAGAATTCTCGTTAAAATTCTATTTATTTTTTGTGCTGATTCTATGAGATATTTGATAGGAAAAAGTCAATAGATTGCGATTTTTCTATCTAAATATTCTCGTGGAATTTTTTCTGTAAGAATAATTGGTCATGAATTTCCCAAGTTTTTTTCACTCGGATTCTGTAATGCAAAACAAAACAAAATACAGTGAAAAAAACAGAAAATTCCTGCCCAATAATTTTAATAGAATAAATCTCAAAAGAAAATTGAAACAGAAAAATCGAAATCTATTGAATTTCTCCTATCACATATCTCTAACTCTATATTCTAACGAGAATTCCCTAGAATTTTAATAGAATCCCTATGGAATTTCCAGAGAATTTCAATAGAATTTTCTAACGAATTCGCTAAGGTTTTATATTAAATTTAGGATTTAAATAGGATTTTTGATTGACCAAATATTTATTAATAATCGTCAATCTTCTGAAATCAACTATTGATTGATAAAATAATTCGGAATTGAATATTTAATTGACGATTAATTTAATAATTGGCGAGTGATATAAACCGATTAACTTATTCAAAACTTAACTTTATTTAAAATTCATGATTATGCCGATGTCTGGGTACGACCCGCGCGAGATATGAGAAAATATTACAGTTTCGCATTATGCCAATGAAGGGCGCCAGATAGGTGCCTGAAATGTCAAAAAAGTCTAAACCCCCATGTAATTACTTAGTTTATGACAGGTCATAAATCATGTAATTTACTTGCCCAACCCTGCTCGTAGAGTATTATATTACTACTGAATATTACCCGAACTGATTCATTCGTCAGTAACGACATAATATCCGGGAATGTCAAAGAACAGTTATGAAAATTTCACTTGGATTCAGAGATATTCAGCAAAATATTTTCAACATCGAAATGAAATCATTGAGTTTCACCGCTTCATGATTAAATTTACTTAATTGGCTAATTAGCACCAGAATAATCACAAATGTAGAAAATTTATCTACATTTCTCATCATATTATTGGGATTTTCTCACTGAAATTAGTAGCGAAAATTTATTACGTCATTTTATTATCTCTCTGCGTAAATTGATCATTCTTAAGGTAGCTCTATCCTTCAGCCGGGTTACGCTGCACTTTTGAATATTTTCAGTTTTTCAATTTTTCAACTAAATTGCATGGGAAAAATTTGAAAAATTTCATACTCAGTCAGTATTATCTAAATAAAATTTCGCAAAATATTACTATTTTTTCAAACATTTACTTCCTATAAAAAACTAGGGGGCTACGCCCCCTGCTCGCTACGCTCGCCAACCCCTACATGACTTACATTTGAACTGACGCAATTCAAGCAAAAAAATTTGGTTTGTTAAATATTTTTTTTATCAACTTTTGTTTATTAACTTTTTTTTATTTTTGAGAGTACTAATGAGAATAGTAGTTTTCCATTCAGTAGAATGAAAAATTATTGAGACGTTTTGACAGGAGAAGACTTTGTCCATGGATTAATTGAAAACAAAATGAAACAGCAAAATCCAAAGTCCAGAAGAAAGCCCAGCGGGAGACCTAGAGGGGGAAAAACGAAAATGTGATACTGAATTTCAATCGAATGAAAAAAGAAAAGTGTAATCGGTCTAATCTGATCAATTAAATTCAGTAACGAAGCGGTAAAATGATTTAAGTCGATTTTAGCTTTTGGTCAGTTTTCAATGAATATCTCGGAATGTAAGGCAAATATTAAAATTTTCGTTATAACCTTGTTTGTAGAGCGAATTGAGATTTATGAAAAAGCTCATTATGAAAATTTCGCTATCTCCCTTAGATTCGGAGATATTCCTCGACAAATCAGTAGAGAGCTAAGTCGACTTGAACCGTTTTACCGCTTCGTTACTGAATTATAACACGAATAGAAAATTATTCTTCCCATCAGTACTCCCCATATAAAAAAAAATTGATAAAGAAATTAACAAAAATTTTTGTTTGCTTGAATTGCGTCAAACAGTAATTTTTGACTGTTCCATTTTGCCCCACTCTCCCCTATCTAATGAAAAAAAAATTAGATTCTAATCTTTGATTACAACTGAAATGTTAATATTCACATGAGACACTGGGTTAAATCCTTATTTTTAAACGTTTCCTCTTTGAAAAATCAAAGCGATAATTAAATTGCGAAAAAATTAGGATTCCGAATGTAATCGAGTTTTCTGGAAGTTCTTTACAGTTTTCATTAATCTTTGAATTTACCGTAAGGGTAGAGGTACTTTAACCCTGAATTTTCTGCACAAACCGAAGATTAACAGAAACCTCAAGCATCAATAAACGCATTAAAAATCTGCGTAATTTCTCTCTTCGCAACACATAACACAAGCCTCCCAGGTAGAAGTTTTCGTATCCACCTGAAATCTCAACGACCACGTGACCACCGCCCGAAGCCGCGATTGGTTCACGGTTGACCACGTGCCCTCGCTGAGCCGAGGAAAGCACATGCGCGTACTCAACCCAAAAGGAGTCAGGTGTGTAGAGGCTGTCGTACCAACGCAACAGGTAGCATTTTATTCCGTTACAAGAATTTTGTTCCTTTTATTAAGTAAACTGCGGCCAAACAAGTTTAGTTGAGTTCATTGGCATTAAAATAATCTCTAAATGTCTGCCTCGAGGTGTTTTGCACCCCTGAAAGGCCCATTCACCCGCAAATACCCCCGGAAAACGTAGAAATTAAATTTTCCCTGAATTATCGTTATGTCGCTGAGAAGTGCATTTTCCTCGAGACAGAGCGACTGTTGTGTTCTGCTGTCTCGAGACCCCCAGTCCAGGAGGTGCGCTCAACAGTGAGGGCTGCCGGGAACCGGCTCAAACCTGTCCCCAATGGTCCGTTGAAACACTTTTCGTGCATTCCAACCGAACTTCTTACTCAGCACATTCATTTATCGTTGGCTAACGCGAGTAAATCCGTCAATTACTTCAGTAAAATTATCGTATATCATCAACTATGACGTTTACTAATTACCTCCGCGTGAATGTGTAACCTTGACAGTTGTCTCGACGAGTGAATCGACGGATAATCATCCAAGGTGTGCTCCAATTCGCTCCGTTCGTCTGCAACAATCGCTCGAGAATTAATATTGAAATTAAATAATCGTGACAAATAAATCAGTGAATTAAATCCCCTCGACAGTTTCGAGTCGTTGAATCAATGATAACGAGAGTGAATTCCCGGGAACATGGAGCGGATGCGTGGGAGTCGACGGGCGGAAGATAAACACAGGTAAATTACCCAAGACAAATTCAGAAGTGAAGTGGGAAAACGAAAAATCAGCTTTACGTTTCACTGGATATCTCGGTACAGATGCGACACAGCGAAATTTTCATCGAGACCTTTTTTGCAGCTTTCGTTATGTTCTACAAAAAAGCACTTTACGTAAATTCCCGTATTCCCCTTAGATTTCGAGATATCACGAGAAAACAGATTGTAAAATTGAGGAGATCGATCTCATCTGGCAGCCTTGTAACTGATTTTTTTTTATTTCAAAACGCTCTAATCCACATTCGAGCGAAATAACCGAGTATCCAATGGTCTAACGGCAATCACGCACGACAAAGTTCAATGCAAGATCCCTCGGCGACACCGAGGCAACGGTATTTCCGGTCGTAAATCGTAGATCAGTTCTCAACATTTGGAAACATTAAAAACTTTCACTGTTAATTCTGCATAATTGTCTCCACAGAGAGGGAAATTACCCTTGCACTGTTAAAAATTTCTCGAAATTTTGGGAAAAATGGAGTAATTTTCGTGAGAGTGACATTGAATCCGATTTAGGGGAAAAATGGTGAAGAAATTTCAAGTTTTAGGGATAATTCAAGAAAATTCATGGGTTTTCAATTTTTTCCGAATTTTCATGGAATAATTGAACTGAAATATCGAATATTTTATTGGTTTTATGATAATTCAAAGCAAAAATCAATGGAATATTTGGCTTTTCAATGATAAGATTTCCTGAAATTTTAGTGGAAATTGAATATGATAACAATTTCCGGAATTTGACCCGGAAAATTCAGAGGAAAATTTTCAACAGTGTGCACTGTTAGAAATTTTGTGGAAAATATGGGAGTAATTCTCATGAGAGTGACATTGAATCCGATCTAGGGGAAAAATGGTTAAGAAATTTTAAGTTTTAGGGGGAATTCAAGGAAATTCATGAGTTTTCAGTGGGAGTGAGATGGAAGTTTCACAACTTGATTGAATTTTCAGTGAAATTGAATATTCATAAACAAAATGACATAAATTTTCCATTTTTTCCTGAATTTTCCAGATTTTTCTGAATTTTTACAGAATAATTGAACTGAAAAAGCAAGTATTTCATTGATTTTCTGATGATTCGACGAAAAAAATCAATGGAATATTTGATTTTTCAATGACAAGATTTCCTGAAATTTTATAACTTAATTGAATTTTCACTCTGCTGAAACTGAACACCGTTTGAGAAAAAGTGAAATTTCAGGTTTCACTGAAAATTCAGAAAAACTCCAAAATTTGAAGCAGCATAAAGATGAGAATTCCTTTATTTATTTGAATTTCCAATCTAATATAAATATCAAATTCCAAATTACATTGAATTTTCAGTGAAATCTAAAATTTCATGATTTTTTCCCCCTAAATCGCATTCAGTCACTGTCCTGGAAGCTCAAGAATATATTTACCGGAATTTTCTATTTTTCTATTTATTTTCAGAGAAAAATGGAACTGAAATTTACCGTTTCTTTTTGATTTTTCCACGAAATTCGCAAATTTTAATGACGCAATTCCTTGAAATTTTAGTGGTAATTAAATTCGATAAAAATTTTCAAAGGATGTACCGGAAATTTCAGACCAAAATTTTTAACAATGAATTTTCAATCTTTCCCTGAATTTTTCTGATTTTGCAGAATTTTCACGGAGTGATTGAACTGAAAAATCAAGTACTTAATTGATTTTTAAATCATTCGAATGGAAAAACAGTAGAATATTTGATTTTTCGATGACAAGATCACCCGAAATTTCAGTGGAAAGTGAATACAATAAAGATTTCCGGGATTTGACACGGAAAATTCAAACAAAACTTTTAAACAGGCTGAAAAAAACCGTATCACGAACTTTTAAACTAATTTCCAAGAATTTACGATTCATCATGGACACCCTGTATATGTAAAAGCATTGACCAGTTGCCAGCAGATCTACCGGCTGATATATCCGTGAATGTGTGACTGTGTATGTAGCGGAGAGTCAAGAAGTAGAGGGGGGAAGGGTTAAGAGTCCAGTCTCGAGCGAGACAAACCAATGTCGCGTATCCTTATGCGAAGAGTGTATCCGCAACTAAACACGTACTGTCTACGGTTTATGGTCATGCCCTGTTCACCACTGACGTCACAGAATATTGGGGGATCAATTGGCGGATGAATTGATTCGATCGTGAAGGGGTAAGGCTCAGCCCCTTGTCGATTAAATTTACTCAAAATCCGAGGAAAACGGTTTAATTGCGGAAGCCAAAGACTCGAGGAGCGTTGTTTACAATAAAACAATGCAGTGAAAATGTACCACACACGTTTGAATACACTTGATGGATGGGAATTAGTACTCACTGTTTGTTGAAAGTGCTAGTGAAGCCGAAGTTAAGGACATCCAAGTATTTAGGCTATTCTTATTCTACAGTGAAATGCTTTTGTACTTCTGTAGTCAAACATCAGAGCTTTAAGTCTGAAAAACAAATAGAAATTTTACTTTTGGAGGAAGATTGATGGAATAGTTGAAAAATTGCAATTTTTTTAAAATTACGAGCATTTTTTATAAATAATTCAGTAGTGAAGTGGTAAACCGGTATAAGTCGATTTTGACTATTGCCCAGTTTTCAATGAATATCTCAAAATCTAAAGGAAATAGCAAATTTTTTGTCATAACCTTTTTTGTAGAGCTAATTGAGAGCTACAAAAAAGGAAATTACAACAATTTTGCTATTTCCCTTAGATTTCGAGATATTTATTGAAAACTGGCCAATAGTCAAAATCGACTTATACCGGTTTACCACTTCGCTACTGAATTGTAACGAATTTATTCATATTCACAATTTTACCAGAAATCGATTTTATGCCCAGAAAAATCAGGTTTCCGCAAGTTTAAACAACTTTCATTATTTATTTATGAACAACGAATGTTCAAAGAAATAATAATTCTGTGTAAAATGTGATTTGAATGACGTTGAATATTCAAGATTTCCTTCAAATTTTTCTCATGCAATTTAATTGACAAATTTGATGAGTGAAAATGGCTGAATTTTAACTTAAAAACAGAAATTATTCGAATTAAAAATTAAAATATGAATATCAAAAATGAAATCACGGTGAATTATAAATTAAGAACATAAAAGTACTTTGGCTATTTACTGAAATAAATGCTTGTATACTTTTCTAGTCGAACATCAGAGCTTTCATTTAAGCCCGATTTGACCCTAAGTTTCCGGACATTTTACAATGATTTCATTATTTAAGCTTTGCAGGTCTGAATTTGAATCTCGATATTGAACCGTTAGGAAACATTTTTAAAATCTGAAAAAAAATAGAAAATTTACTTTTGAAGCAAGGTTGAGGAAATAATTGAAAAATTGCAATTTTTGATAATTACGAGCATTTTTTATAAATAATTTATAAACAAATTTTCCACCATAAAAATTATTTATTCGAAATCGTAACAAATTTATTTATATTCGAAATTTTGCCCGAAATCAATCTGATACCGAAAACAAATGGAAAATTTCTCCCGTATTGCATATAGTATAATTATTTTTGGTAATAAATTAGCAATACGCTTCCGAATGGTCATTTTGCACATCATTTTCTGCTATCATGTACAATTCATTGTTTATTTCATTTTATTAAGTTGAATAACATTTCTTTTTAACTACTTCTGTCAGATTTGCAACTTTGTTGAATCTGATCATCATCATTATTCTTATTATCCCTTCCTTCTATACAATTGTCTTTTTTACGCTTCTATCTCTCCCCTCAGCCCTTTGATAAAATGTTGATAGAAGAATTTTATTTATACATACTTGAATGACTTTGAAACATCACATTTGAAGAAACCATCAGGGAGCCCACTTTCAGGGAAATTCATGAAAAATTCGAAATTTTCTACATTCATCATAAAACCAAATCAACCAATCTTTGAACTTCTACTGAATGGCATTAAAATAAATACTTTAAGCTATGATTGAATTCATTTGAAGCATGATATTCAAAGATATCGCCGGAATTCCGATTTTCAAAAAATACAAAATTTTTGTAAATTTTCAAATAAATTAAAATAACGATTATTACTATCGCCTTCATTTTCGAACTTGGTCAAAAGGACATCGAAACAAATTTTTCAAGCTATCATTCAATGAAGAACATTTTATTCTAAGTTACCGTGGGTCCACCGATTTTCGAAAAAATTCGAAAATTAAAAACACTAAACGATGAATTAAATTTTAATTAATTGCGATTAATAGGGCTCAACAATACTCACATTTGAAAACAAAAGATTCAGTTCCATCCATTCATTGGTGAATAATTGAAGAAAAACTTTGGTACATACACACACGCGTACGGACGAGGTCTAAAAATTGCATTTTCGTTGACTCGTAAACAAAAAAGGCACAGTTCGGCCACTCGCGGAATGTAACATCACTGTCAAAAGAGTATATTTCGATACGAGTGAGACGGAATTTGCAGCTCGTGTGATTGGCAGCCCGAGGCTAAGCTGAGGGCAACTTCACATTCGTGAAAATTCCATCTCACTCGTATCAAAATATAATATTTCGGACTTTTTGGATCATACAGGGTTCATATAACCAACATCAACACCAACACTTGTAAATATGGGAAGAGATGTATCAGCTAAGCTGTCCTTTCTCAATAAATAAATGATGATGATAATAATAATAATAATAATAATAATAATAATAATAATAATGGAGAAATGGCCAGGATCCGGATAGCTCAGTAGGGAGAGCACCCGATGCATAATCGGAAGGTTTCGGGTTCAAATCTCGGTCTGGACTATCAATTTTTTTCAGTAAAATTTTCTGGTTATTCATATTGAGAATAATCCCGGTCCCCCTCCTACCTCATCCAAATCCCAACCAACCATTTCCTATGACGTCACAAAGATGTGGAACCCTACATAAATTCCCTTCTTTAATGTTAACAAAAAAAACTCATTATATTTTACTAAAAAGAATTATTATTATTTCAAATAATTGATTTTTCAGTTTTATAATTATTACATTTCATTATTATTATTATTATTATTATTATTATTATTATTATATGTAATAATAATAATAAATCCAAAACTCAAATTTGAACGATTACACAACTTCCATTCGGAAGCAAAAATAAGGTTTCCGAAAGCTTAAGCAATTAAATTGATTTATTTATAAACAAGGAATGTTTACAAAAGTAATATTTCTGTTCAAAATGTAATTTAAATGACGCTGAATATTCAAGATTGTTTTCTCACCCAACTTAATTGACAAATTTGATGATTGAAAATGCTTCAATCTATAGTGTGGTCTGTACCAGACTGTAAAAGATACTCGGCGATCCTTAATAGGAAAAAAGCATAAAGAAAGAGCGAAATCGTGAAAGAGCAGAAAGAAGAAGGGTTTTTTTTCACCTTCGAACAAAAAGGAGGGAACTGTGAGGTGGAAGAGGGAGAGGGAAGACGATGGAATAAGAGGAGGTTTTGTATGAGTAGAGGGAGTTGGTAAGAGAAAAGAAAGAAACGTGTATAGAGGGGAAAGGCACCTCGACGACGCCAGCGGGTTACCAGCGGGGTTTACCCGTGTGCCTGAGATCGGCGTCGGCGGTTGTATTTTCATACACTACCTATTTGGCATTGGTGATATACCTACGCTAGTTTTTTTTAATTTGATCATTTATGGGGTACCCTGTGAACGGCTGTTGCCACAGTCTTTCGAGATTCGTGACGCCCTCGGTTTCCGACGGAACTGACTGAAGAAATCGGTTGCTGGAGGCTTTGAACTCAGGTGAATTGAGTTTTCTGGAAGTCGGGCACCGGTATCAACGATTTACTCTGGATTTTAGTCATTCTGGGAGGGCTGTGCATGGTGAGAGTGCTACGAGGAAGTTCTGGGTGATGACGGTGGAATTTTTAATCGGTGGAGAACATTGGGGAGATGTTACATAACGATTTTTTACGATCGCGGGACTGCTTTAATTAACGGGGGACGGGGGCTTGAAATGGATTGCGTTGTGATTTTAGTTTTAGTGATGTTTATGATTACGATAACAGTGGTCTAACTGTGGGGTCGGTTTACGCTCGCGGGGCTCTGCGTTAATGACGAAATAACGATTTAATGGGTGATAGTGTATTTCTCGGAACAGAACAAAATTTCCGATTTTCAGAACGAAGTTACCGATTTCTGGAAATTGTTAATAGAAAATTTCTCGTGGAATTTCGAGGAAACATCATGATATTTTTAACTGCGAATTATCTGCATGAAAAAAGTGTGAACATTTAGGCAATTATTGTTCAGAATTCAGTATATATTGAAAATTCATTTGAAGGTGATGTTCAACGTTCATAATGATTCAGAACGAAGTTACCGATTTTTTAGAAACTCTGTTAGTAGGAAATTACTCGTGCAATTTCGAGTAAAAATCATGAAATTTTTAACTGCGAATTGTCCGCATAAACAAATGTGCGAACATTCAGGCAATTATTGTTCAGAATTCAGTATATATTGAACATTCATTTGAAGGTGATGTTCAACGTTCATAATGATTCAGAACGAAGTTACCGATTTTTTAGAAACTCTGTTAGTAGGAAATTACTCGTGCAATTTCGAGTCAAAATCATGAAATTTATAACTGCGAATTGTCTGCATGAAAAATTGTGAACATTCAGGCAATTATTGTTCAGAATTCAGTATATATTGAAAATTCATTTGAAGGTGATGTTCAACGTTCATAATGATTCAGAACGAAGTTACCGATTTTTTAGAAACTCTGTTAGTAGGAAATTACTCGTGCAATTTCGAGTCAAAATCATGAAATTTTTAACTGCGAATTGTCTGCATGAGAAATTGTGAACATTCCGGCAATTATTGTTCAGAATTCAGTATATATTGAAAATTCATTTGAAGGTGATGTTCAACTTTCATAATGATTCAGAACGAAGTTACCGATTTTTGGAGAAACTCTGTTAGTAGGAAATTACTCGTGCAATTTCGACTAAAAATCATGAAATTTTTAACTGCGAATTGTCCGCATGAACAAACGTGCGAATATTCAGGCAATTATTGTTCTGAATTCTATATATATTGAAAATTCATTTGAAGGTGATGTTCGATTTTCATAATGATTCGGAATGAAATTATCGATTTTTTAGAAACTCTGTTAGTAGAAAATTACGCGTGGAATTTTGAGTAAAAATCATGAAATTTTTAACTACGAATTATCCGCATGAACAAAAGTGTGAACATTCAGGCAATTATTGTTTTGAATTCAGTATATATTGCAAATTCATTTAAAGGCAATGTTCGATTTTCATAATGAGCTTGAGGATTCAAGTGTCATTCAAATATCCATGGTTCTTTCATATGAAAAACTCATTTGTGTTGGAATCCCAAGATGAGTGAGAAACTCGATTAATTTTTAAATTGAATTCGAGTGCAGAACGTTAAAAATTTGTATTCAGGTGTTATTTAAATTTTAGAAACATTCGAACAGTGCGTGATTCTAGAAGGCATTGTACTGAAAATGGAACTGCTTACTCAAGTTGAAAAGAAAAATATGAGAAATTGAAAATAAAAAATGTACTTATTTCCGGTGGAAAACTATCTTATAGTGAGAATAGGCGAATTTTTTTAATGAAGAATATTAGTGTTCTTAAGGATATGCAAGTATTTTTTGCAGTTGGGTACAGATCACACTATAAATTCAACGATTTTCAATCATCAAATTTATTAATTCAATTGCGTGAAAGACATTTGGAAAAAATCATAAATATTCAGCGTCATTAAAACGACATTTAGCACAGAGTTAGTATTTTTTGAACATTCGTCGTTTATAAATAAAGAATTGAAATTGTTCAAACTTTCGGAAACCTTATTTTTCTAAACATGAAATAGATTTCTGGTAAAATTTTGAATATGAATGAATTTTTTACGATCCCGAACAAATGATTTTTGTGGCTGAAAATTGATTGTTTATAAATTATTTATAGAAAATGCTCGTAATTTTCAAAAATTGTAATTTCTCAATTATTCCCTCAATCTTCTGCCAAAAGTAAGCTCTAATTTTGTTCAGATTTTTCAAACGTTTTCTAACGGTTCAATGTCGACATGCAAATTCAGACCTTCAAAGTCTAAATAATAAAATCATTGTAAAATGTCTGGAAACTTGAGGTCAAATGGGGCTCAATGAAAGCTCTGATGTTCGATAAAAACAGTAGAAAAGCATTTCGCCGAAGAAAAAATAACGAAAGTACTTGGATATCTTTAAACAAAATTGGAGTGAAAATTATTTCTCAAAACGTTAAAGCAAATTTCCTGTTAAAACTTATCAATATTTCTTCAAACCAGAGCACATTGATCTTTATCATCACCTTCCAAAATATCGATAACTTTCGGCATAAAATTCGTTCAAAAATTCCTCAAAACAAGTGGCTTTCCGTTACGCCTTTAAGATCTTTCACATTTCATTCATTGTTTGGTTTCTTTACTCATTAGATTTCAGTACTACAGACTTCTGAAATTTCGAGATTCTTACTGCAAACTGAAGACTATATTTCTCTGCGAAGTTTCCCGGAAAGTAGCAAATATTATTGAGGTTTTCTGTTGCAGTGGTCTTTATGGAGATGGAAATAAGAGAGTTGAAAGTGGCTCAGTCATTGCGTTACCACTCGATGATGTCAGGAAAAATTCACCGATTAATATATTAAAGAGGAGCATACGTCGCGCTTGGACGATCAATGGTACGTTCTCATTATTCAATTGTTATTAATACAATAATAATTGTTATTGGTACTGTTGTTCATATTGGTCTTAATCCAAACCATTTGATCATTTTTTATCATTTGGACATCATAAACTACATCAGCTCGAATCAGCTAATGACCGCAGAGGTCGATAATTACGAGAAAATTTTAACAATCGGTCAAAAACTTCTCCCCAACATTATTCAATTGTAGAACACATTGTATTTACTAATGATATTGCTTCAGGACCACCGGGCAGATGGACTATTTCCCGAAAATCCCCAGCCTTCAGACTTTATCGAAGTCTCCCCTTGAGCAGAAACAATCGCACAAGTGGCGGGGGTAAAATAGAAAATGCTGAGTCCCTGAAGACTGAAATTGAGCGTAAGGTGTTGTCCCTTAAAACAGAATCACTGAACTTGAGAAATAAATCGAATCCTGATGGAAACGAAGACGATAGTGCCCCAGCTCGTGGTACTCTAGCGAAACCGACAGGGAAGAATTTACAGAAATTCATCCCTGAATCGAAAGCCTCGCCGAAATATGGCGAGAGAAAATCGAATATACCGATTTATCGAAGAAATTCAAGGGAGTTTGAGGACATTGGGAGTCCCAGAGAGTCACCGAGACGTTCGCTCATTCCCCAGAGGTACAGAGGGAGTACTGACGACCTGAGGAGGTACAGGGAGGAGGGGAATATCCCCAGTCTCATTCCAAAACTCTCGCAAAAATCTAAGGAGGAGAAAGCCCTGAAGCGAGAAAAATTCGAGGCAAAATCAAGTCCGAATATAAGAAGAGAATTAAGGGAGAGGGAAGACTCCCGTCTGAGATATTCTCCGACGAATTTCCGAAGGACTCCGAAGAGTGAAGAGAATTTACTGCTGCTTAAACCACAACCAGAACCTAGAGAAGATCAAGATCAGGGAAATCTGAAACAAGAAATTGTGGGAGAGATAAAACAGGGGGATTTTGAACTTGAGGAGAAATTTGTTGAGGGCAGGAGTGCTTCTGAAACTTCGAGGATGGCAAATGAGAAGATTGTTATTGACGAGTGCCATGATGTCAAGGATGCCGCGAACGACGAGAAACACGTCTCTGGGGACTCTTCGGAGGACAGGGACTCTGGGGAGGGAGAGAAGTCTTCAGGGGATGTGATGGACACGTCGAATACTTCTACTGCTAGTGATACCGAGACTCAAGGGGCGAACATTGAGGATATTAAAAATGTGCCTGATGCCAATCTGTTTAAGAAGAGTGAGGAAATACAAGTGGTGAGTAGAGAAAGACGGTTAATTAAATTTTATACTTGTTTTTTTTATTTAAAGATATCCAAGTACTTTGCCTATGTTTTTGTTCAGTGAGTTTAGGAGCGTAAAGAAATTAGAAGATCCACTTTTAGAGGACAATTCATAGAACAATTGAATAATCTAAAAAGTGCAATTTTTAAAGATTTCAACAGATTTCAATGAATGTTCTATAAACAATGAATTTCCCACCCTGAAGATAATTTTTTCGAAATTGTAATTGATTTGTCCACAGTCGAAATTTCAAAAGAAAATCGATTTCTTTCATTTTTCGTAATTTATTGTCTTGAAGCGCATCCTTGGCAAAGTAAGTATTTAAAATGATACACTTTTAATGACGCCTTAATAATTCCCATTTTTTCCGCAATTGAACAGACAAATTTAATTATAATTAGGCATTAATTATTAAAAATCTCTAAATCTAAATCGCGTTGCGTTCAAAACAGTCGAAAGTACTTGAATATCCTCAACAATAATTGAAAGATCGAACGGTTAGGCAACTCCACTGGCTTCCACGAACGCGATAATAATATCTGGATGACTCGATTTCAATTTCCAGATTCGCAGAAAGTATTCAAAGGAAGAGTTTTCCAACACTGATGACACAGACGATGCGCCAAATCGTCGCTCCTCCAGCGTAAGTATTGCAAAATCTCCTGCTGAGAAAATAACTGAGAAGAAAATTGAGTAGGCGTATAATTTTGGTTGAAATTACAGCATCTGTCACCGGAAGCCAGCCCCCTCAGCACTCGTTCATCCAGGTACAGTCCACGTGAAAGCGAGAGTGAACCAACGCCTGCATTACCACGAAAAACCCAGAGTGGCGAGTCATCTATATCATCGCAGAGAATAAGAGACGCTATTACGAGAACAAGAAGAGAGTCTAATAGTAGTACGCGGTATGAGAGCAGTGGTAGTGAGAGCATAAGGTGAGAATAAAACGTTTAATAATCTGTGCTGGCTCTTTTTGTAGAGTGTTGAAAAACTACTCTTGAAATTTCAAGTGAAAAAGCTTGAAATTTTTAACAACGAGAAAGTTACATGAAATTTCTGTAGAATTCTTCATTGACGAATCAGTTAATTTCTTGAATATTCAAGTACTTCTCGATTTTCAAGGCAATACGCCACTGAGAAACCTTGAAACCCTGAATTTTCAATCTATTGTAAATTGATGAAAAGTGAATTTTATGTATGATGTTTAATTTTCACGATGAGTTTGAAAATTCAAGTTTTCATTGAAAAATCAATAATTGTTCAACATGAAAAACCCAATTTTCTTGAATTTTCAAGATGAATGAGAAATTTAGTAAACGTTTTCATTTGAAATTGAATTCAAACTCACAACATTGAAAACTCAGATGACATTGTGACTGAAATTTCAAGAAATTTCTAGCAGTGTATTCATCAGAAGAAACTCGAGCAGTGAAAGGGGAACAAGATCAGTGAATTTTGATTGGAAATTAGTTGAAACACGTGGGAAATTAATGTTGTCTTCATATAACAGCTTTTTTGCTAATAAATTTATAATGTGCGTCCGAATGTTCATTTTGCGCGTCATTTTCTTCAAATTATACTATCTATTTTTTCTGAATGGACGCTTTATAATTGTTTAATTTTAAGATTTGGACTTTTTGTGTTATATCGACCCAATATGATCCAAAAAGTCTAAAGATGCCATTTTTAAACCTCGCCCGTACGTATGGGTGTATGTGTGTGATGATGATAACATTCAACTTAGTTGAAAATCTGATGAAATTAGTTAAGGGGAGACCCCGGTGAAATTTGAAAGTCTTCGGTGGATTTGGGGACTTATTGAGTGACTTTAGTTATATGATGGGATATGTTAAAAAGTGGGAAAAATCCCGGACCCAATCGGTTTTGCCGCGTACTTCCATGGAAAACGTCGTTTTTCGTGTTTCTACCTTTAAAACGTTCCTCGTTTCACCGGGGTCCCCCCTTAAAAAGAAAACTTATTCAATTTAATAACACGAAATGAACAATGAATTATACATGATGGGAGGAAATGATATGCAAAATACCCTTTCGGAAGTATATTGCTAATTTATTAGCAAAAGTAGCTATATTATATGCAATATAAAACATTTTTCCATTTGTTTTATTAGTAGCATTGCCCTAAAACTTATAGAATTTTTAATAGAAGTCTAATAGAAATCTAGAATAATTTCCTGTCGAATTCCCAGGGTTTTTCTGCAAAATTTCCTCGTGCGTGATATACAGCTGAGATTCTAATAGAACAATTCAACTTTCTTTGGATGCAGACGCATTCGTCAAAAATTCATTCTGATAACTCATCCTGTTTCGCACTTCACAATTGATTTAAAAAATAGTCTTTCGGACAAATCGGTGCTCGGTGTCTTAACTTCGTAGGAAACGAATAGGATTTGATTCGATTTAATATGAATAATTGTGCAATAACTTCATTTCAGATTAAGTGAATCCGGATTACATGGTTACGTAGACCTCGCCCGCAAAGTCCGATTATTCGACAGCAGTCATTGCTGTCCAGGGGCATCCATTGATGAGCCAATTCAAAGGGACAGTGCCACAAGTGCGGGAGAAGACGAGCCACACGAGGACTTCCTATCCCGTGATCCGGGCAGACTGACTGGAACATCCACCCAGGGAAGAACAATACTCCGTAGACGGAGACAATTCGACGCTCAAGGTACGGAAATTACATTATTTCAGTAGAACCCTTTCTTCCCTGTCTCATTGGCGGATCATTTGGATCGATTATTGAAGCCCCACGTGGCATTTCGTTCCCCTCAGGCTGATTCTGGTGCGGCCAGTGTCGTGTCGCCCAGTGTCGATGAACGTTTCACTCGTTTTATTGTAAACAATTGATAAAAATCACAGCTCTTTTGTAAATCAGCCCAATATTATCAGCAAATTTCATGGATTGTCGGTATTTATCGACCGAATATTGCTGGAATTTTTTCATTAAATTCATTTCATAACAATCGATCAAACGTCAAAATTAATCGAAGCGACAAAATCATGGATTGTCTTCTCAACAATTATAACTCTTAATAACAAAATTAACTTTGAAAAAATTATACTAATCAAAATGTGATTTATCAGAATCGTTTACGTCTCCTCAAGTGAGAAATTAAAATCAATTGATAAAATTCCCAGCGTATTTATAAAGCAGTCCAACATTAACGTAACATTCTGTGGAATTATAGCCCTCAATTGTTGAAAATTTTTAATTAAATCCAGTTCATAGCAATCGATAAATTTCGTAATTAATTGAAGAGGCGAAATCATGGATTGTCTTGGAGACAATGATAACTCTTGATAACAAACGGAATTAAAAAATTAATAATAATAAAAATATTACTTGTCAGAATCGTTGCAATTTTATCAAGTGAAAAACTACAAACAATCGATCAAATTCTCAGCTTATTTATAGAGCAGTCTAACGTTACCGTTAAATTCCACGGATTTCCAGTATTTATAGACTACAATGACTGGAATTTTTTCAACAAATCCATTTCATAACAATCGAGAAATTTCGTAATTAACCAAAGAGACGAAAGCATAGATTTTCTTCGAAACAATTACAACTTTTAATAACAAAATTAATTTTAAAAAACAAATAATAAGAAACGTATGACTTGTCAGAATCGTTTAAATCTCATTAAGTGAAAAACTATAAACCATTGTTAAAATTCTCAGCTTATTTACAAATGAATTGAACATAAACATCAAACTCTATAAATTTTTGGTATTTACAGCCCATAATTCTTGAAAATTTTCGATTAAATCTCGTTCATCGTAATCAATTCTTAATACCGAAATAAAAAAAAACGAATAGTGGTGAAAGTATGACTTGTCAAAATCGTTTAAATCTCATCAAGTAAAAAACTACAAATCATTGATAAAACATTCAACTTATTTATAAATGAATTCAACATAAACAAACTCCACGGATTCCCGGTATTTATAGCCCTAAATTATTTCAAATTTCCCATCAACTCCATTCCATATCAATCAATAAATTTCATTATTAATGAAAGAGCCTACAAAAAAAAAGTTAAACATAAGAATTGTTAGAAAACGTGCGAGGTGAGATGAGCCTCAACAATTGTTAAAATCCTTGACTCCCTCATAAATCAGTCCATCAATAACATTAATTTCCTTGGATATACGGTATTCCGTAAATTATTGAAAATTCTCCACCCAATCTATCTCACAGCAGTCATAATAAATAACTTGATCAATTAAGGAGACGAAATCATGGATGCTCTTCGAGTACTTCAGATTTTCCTCACTGTGATGGTATCAACCTATTTCCTGCTATTTTACATCGGTGCATTTCTCGTCCTGTATTTCTGGCTGACAGACAATTACAACTCTTAACAACAAAATTGAAAAAAATATATAATAAGATCTGTTAGAAGGCGAGTCTCCATAATTAATGAAATTCTCGTCTCATTCATAAACCATTCCACCGATAACATCCAGTTCCACGTATTTTCGGTATTCACAGCCCTTAATTGTTTAAAATTCTTCATTCAATTGACTCTAAAGAGACGAAATCATGGATGCCCTCCGAGTACTTCAGCTTCTCCTGACTGTGATGGTATCCACATACTTCCTGCTATTTTATATCGGTGCATTCGTCGTCTTCTATTTCTGGTTAACAGACAATTACAACTCTTAACACAAAAATTGGCAAAAAGGGGAACAACGAGAATTGTTGGATTCGTTAAAATTTCATGGAGTGAAAACCAAACCCATAGACAAATCAATGGTCCACTCTGGTGCACCGAGTACTACACAAATGTGTATAAACCACCCGAGGTGAGGCAGACCCAAGCGGAGAGTGCTATAGGTATATAATAATGCCAACGTCCACTGTTTCACTCCACAATCCGCCCACCTGTAAATGTACACACCGGGTGTCTCAAAACAATCCCTCCCACAAATTTCTCGGCAAGAATTCCTGTTGAAAGATTACATGAATGGCTTTCAGTATGAAGATGTTCAAAAGATCATTCAGTACCAACTGCAATATTTTATTTTTATCAAACAATTTCTCTGGGTGTCAAATATTTGTTCACTGAATCAAATTATGGAGAACGGAGAGGGGATGAAATTATTTTGGATACGTATTTTTTTTTAATTACGAGTAATCGAGAAGTTATAGCCAATTGAAGGAATATCTGCATTACAGTGGTTACTCCTTAACATTTTAGCCTCTGGGGCCAGAATTCAAGGAATTAAATATTCGGGAAGCCCTTACTCTTCCATTGAAGGCGGAGCTGGGAAAGAAATAAACAGAGAGGATGAATCTACCTGTTTCACTCTCGCATGTTGAGAGTAATTTTACTGCGCAGTCCCGTCGCGCAGAGGGACACACAGATTTAGCCAAACACATTTACGTTGTCGATGGTGGGGGAAGTCAACTTCTTCGACGGAAATGTTAGGGAACCGAAATGCTAGGGAGTAACCACTGTAATGGGGACATTTTTCATCGCTCACCTATCAATCACCCACCCCAATCATTTCACCTATCAATTTCTTTTTGTTTTAAGATATCCAAGTACTTTGACTATTTTTCCTTCAGTGAAATGCTTTTCTACTTTTGAAGTCACACATCAGGACTTTCATTCGAGCCCCATTTGACAATTTACAATGATTTCATATTCTTTAAATTTTGCAGGTCTGAATTTGAATCTCAGTATTGAACTGTTAGAAAACATTGTAAAAATCTGAAAAAAAATTAGAGTTTACCTTTGAAAAAAGATTGATAAAATAATTTTAAAAATTGCAATTTTTGAAAAGTACGGGCTTTTTCTATAAACAATTTATAAACAATCAATTTTCCACCATAAAAATCATTTGTTCGGAATCGTAACAAATTTATTCATATTCACAATTTGATCAGAAATCTATTTCAAGCCTAAAAGAATAAGGTTTCCGAAAGTTTAAACAATTTCAATTATTTATTTAGGAATAATTAAGGTTTTAAAAAAATAATAATTCTGCGCAAAATGTAATATGAATGACGCTGAATATTCGTGATTTTTCCTAATTTTTCTCACGTAATTTAACTCTAGTTTGGTCACTATAAAAGGGAAACGCCGCAGAAGGTCGATTTTTTTTTTCTTACCATTGACTGGCTGAGCGGAAAAATCCTAAAAAATTGGAATGCGTCAATTCAAGTGTCTAGAAAATTATAATATTTTTTAAAATTATTTATATCCACAATTCCTGAAGAAAAAAAATTATTTCTAACAGACGGGCAATTTTTTCCTATGTTAAATGAAATTGCCCGTTGTGCGACGTTGCCGAAGTCTCGCTAAACGCGCCCGGGCAGTATAGAGTGAATTCGGCAACGCTCGGGCCTAAATAACACGGCGGCAATTCCTTGCGGAGGTGACCAGTCGCAAGTTCTCATATGGTGACCAACTAGGGTTAATTGACAAATTTGATGATTGAAAATGGTTGAATCTATAGTGTGATCTATACCAAAATGTAGAAGATACTTGGATATCCTTAAACATGATTTTCAGTTGTGTTTTTATTCACATCAAATGGATATTTTTTTAAATATAAACCATTGTTGTCTTAATCCAAATGAACACGTTAATATTAATTAGAATTTAAATAATTGTTTAACCCCTCACGTATGGGGTCGGTGCAGTGCATCGACCCATGAAAATATGAATGATTCTCTTTAAAATTGATTATTTTCAAAACTATGGAATTTAACTCAACCAAATGAATAACAACGAAAGAAGGAATGTAGCTTCAACTACATATCGGTTTCATAATTTTCCGTTGATTAGAAGTTATTACATTCTAGTTGTATCGAGCGTACTCTACGCTTGGAAGCAAAAGGGCTCCGTCCGTGAGGGGTTAAATGACGAAGGAATTAATTTATCAACATTTTCGTTCGTTTTCATATTCATTGATAAGAAAAAATTCACGGGCAACCAAAATTCGATAAAATACTATCTTTCTGAAAAAATGAATGAGATTTGTCGAGTGATGAAAGAAATGATCAGATAGTGGTTCTCGCTTTATATCTACATATCAACATGTTTTTTTAAAATTCAATTTGATTTATTTAGTCACATCTACATCAAGATAATTAGCGGCTGTACAAAAGAAAATACAGAAAAAAAAGAATAGAGTAAACGCAAATAAAGTGCATGCAAAGCCCGAAAAAATAGATAGAATCATAAAGAAAAATATAATTATCAAAAAAAGTGTCTAATATTTTGTCATCTCCATTAACAAAAAATTCATGCAAAAGTCCAATCGTACAAAAGAAAACATGAAGAAACGAATGAATGTCATCGTGAGCTGAAGAAATTAATGAGATTATTAACCTCTCCCGAAACAATTCCCTTTAAAAGTCAACTAAAAAAACACCCTATATAAATGTTTCGTCCGAATGAATCGAGGCACCGGGCAAGACGATGGGTAAGCGAGCAGCCGGCTGGTTCCGGCCGCGCACACACCGCTACCTAACAACGCCAGTGTATACTCCAACTTCTTTTTTTAAAATACAACTCAGTCAGTTGAGCACATAGAGACACTCAGGTGTGTCGTTTGCTTTTTTACTCTTTCTCCCAAAACGAGGCCGAATAATTAAAAAAATATATATCACTGGCGTCTTGCTCCAGGAGTTCATAGTCCCAGAAGGTTCACGTGATAGAGTCATTAGCCAAATACTCAACGAGAATAATATAATTGTAACAGGTTCCCGTAGACGAGGGAGATCGCACGCCAGAACCTGCTGCAGTGAGGAATTCTCGAGCCTCCAGGCAGGACGTCAATGCAGTCCGTCCCAGGGGCAGATTCAAACACATGGACAGGATCAGCTCAATCCCGATTATCGACGTTTAGTGTTTATCAGTTCGGACTCGTCGTCGGGGAGGGAGGAGGATGACGCTGATAGCAGTTGCTCTGGCTCGTCTTACTTGAATGGCTTGCCGAGGGGCAGTCATGCACAGGGACTCGAGGATTGCGACTGGGATTACTTTGAGAGTGGCACTTTACCTCTGCCAACTAGTTTGAGTGATGGTATTAATATTGACGGGATTACCAACGTCAGTGGAAATACCAGGGGTATCATTAGAGACTGGAGCTGCTGCCCTGGGAGAGGATCTGCTGCTTGCTCGGTTTGTCCATTTATTTTTGTATCATTTATTACCCGTTTTATTATGCCTTTTTTCTCTTCAGATTCGATATTTATTTTTTCTTTTAATTGTTTATAATCATTCTCATTGCAAAATGCTATACAATTCAATTCTTTCTAGAATGCACTTTAGAGTGTGAATTTATGGATATTCCGTTCTTATTCCTATGCTCACCGAATAAGATTTTAATTGTAATTACAATTCAATTCCGTCTAGAACGCACTTTAGAGTGTGAATTTCTGGAATTTAATATTTGTTGATACTCTGGTTATAGTGCGTGCCTACACTGTTATCAATTTCTAGTTCTAGTGTTGTTTATCTCATCAATATAATTCCGTGCTTAGAATGTTGTTATCTCGTAGTTTCAGCACCAAATTAAGAATTAAAACTTAATTTGGAATATTGAGTCACAGCTTCTTTTTATTCATATCAGAAATTTTGTATTTTGATATTAATATTATTTGTTCAAAGTGAAAAAATCGATCATCATTCTCACTATATTGCATTCAGACTCTCCTGTCCTTAACGTCAAAAATGTGAGATAATCTCATAATTCTAGCTATTAATTCTAATCAACTTTGTCCGACGAAAACCGCAGTAAACGCAATATTAAGGAAGTAGAATTATTCTATTTTTCTCAGATCTAAACGATTTGGATAATTATGATCCATTTATTCATGTTTCATTGAATGGTATTCAATTCTCTCTTATTTGTTAAGGGGAAACTACTATGAGTTTGATAAGTCGCAGGTTATTGGAGGGAGATTTCTCATGCATTGAAGATCGATTATACATGTCTAAAAACGAATGATTAAGGCAAAAAAAAATTGTTTATTATTCGTTTGCCCGACAAACGCTTAAAACGTTAAAAATAGTCCAGGGCCTCTAGTTTTTGAGTTACAGAGGCTTTTCTTTCAACATTTTTGAAAAATTGTGTACCTTAACAATTACGAATTAATTTTTTGAAATTCGACTCCCACACTGTTGATTTCGTTTTGTTTAATAGAACAATTTGCACCATTCATGTAAAATAGGCAGAAAAATTGTCCTTAAAATGTTTAAAAAATATTCTCGATTCTTTCAGAAATATTTTTCAAGCTATTTTACATGAATGGTGCAATTTATTTAAAAAATTCTGTTAATTTTGTTATTTATTTTTAAAATATTACGAAATTAGCGGTGCAGGAGTTGAAATTAAAAGAACTAATCCATAATTGTTACTACACACATTTCTTCAAAAATTTTAAAACAAAAATCTCTGTAGTTAAAAAATTAGAGGCCCTCGACTATTTTTAACATTTTAAACATCTGCGATGCAAACGAGCAATAAACAATTAATTTTTTCGCACTAATTGTGTGTTTTTAGGCATATATAATCAATCTCCAATATATGAGAAATCTCTCGTCAATATCCCGCGACTGTTAAAACTCTCAGTATTCTCCTCTTAAAAAAAACCTGAAATAATTTTTTACAGGCTTGCGGAGGTTCCACAAGTGCGAACGTTCTCCCGGTGCCAGTCCCGATCCCCGTCCCTGTGCCCTACCCCGTCCCGATCCCCGCGGCCCTCTGGAACGGCGATTTCGCAGCAGCCGCCTCATCAATGATCACCGGAAATGCAACCCCGGAGGGAACTCTGCGTCTCCGGGGTGACCCGACAGCGCCCTGGTTCTCCTGGCACCCAAGGTTCACCCACCCCCTCGATGGTGCCGTTCAACGAGGCTCGCGAATCCCCAGCGGAGGCTTCGACCCCTCGATCTTCACCTTCAGACCCGACGGCCTGTCCCTAGGTCAATTCGAGAACATCAGGCAGGGGAGCCTGACCGAAGCAGCCGCCTCCAAAGAAGAAAGAACCGATGAAAAATCAAGCGTCAATAAAAATCAACTGTCTGACAGCCAGTCTCCATTCAAAGATCAGAGCTCTACTAAATCCGACTCACCGCAGGGTCTCTCTGAGGCTTGTAAATCAGAGAATCACGAGTCAGAGGACCCATTCGTCCCCGAGAAAGAAAAGGGAGAAGACCCCGAAGACAAAGAATCGAGAAAAGGCTTCCGCCTCTCCCACGACGACTCCGGCAGTTCCTCAGGGCGATCCTCAGCGGACAGCAGTGATCTCGACGAATCCGCGTCCCACCACTTCTCCCGAGTCTTCGTGGTAAACGACGACTCCCTGACAAGCGACAATGACATGGAGGAGATCGACGAGAACGACGAGGCAGAGAGCCAAGACCAAGAATCCGGTATGACCCTGAAACGAGTGGTTCCCCTGTCAGACGAGGAGCAATCGGTGGTTCTGCGTAGAATAAGACTCATCGATAAAGACTTGGACTGTGAAAAGACGTCGGGCGATTCAGAGACGTCGGGCGAGTGGATAACGTCCAGAGATCTAGATCATGACGATAAAAACCCCCCGAGAAACGACGGTGAAATATACCTCGCGGACTCGATCGATTACTCAGATAGCAATCACGTTCAGCTGAGATCGATTAGAAACATAAACCCCGAGTTATTGCAACCAGCAGTGTATTCCCTGAACAGCAATCAGAGCAGCGAGAGTGTTAAATCGAGTTTAATTAAACCAGAAGATCAACCGGAAGAGAAATCCTGGGATTCTACAGTCATGCCAGACTCTCTAGAAGTGGCAAACACGAGCCTAATTCATTCACACTGTTCGCTCGACGCAGCCCCGATAACCCACGATAATTTATCAACACCAAGTGACAAGGTATCAGCGACCACCTGCAAATCCCAGGGGCCTGAGGCCTGTTCCAAAGAATCTAAATTAAATTCAAGCACTGAGAGCAGTGAAACCAACACCAGTGAATTCAGCAGCGACGAGTTGCATGAGTACGATGTTACGAGCTATGTGAAGTCACCAGAACGTTTCGTGGAAAAATTATTGAACAAAGGTGCCAGAACACCTGATGAATTCGTGCACAAGGCAACACCATTTCCAAAACGCTCTAGACGAATGCCCAATAGTGAAGCACTGGGTCCAACTGAAGACCCCAAAGCCCCCGAAAACTTCACTGAGGAGAAACTCGTTACTAATGAATCAGAGATAATTGAGAGTGGTGTATTGACTCGTAATGATGAGTCCAGAGATACGGAATTAAATTTAAACGACGATTACGTGAAGCCACTAGAATTGGTGCACAAGACAACACCATTTTCAAAACGCCCCGGACGAATGCCCGATAATGAAGCCCTTGAAAATTTCACTGAGGAGAAACTCGTCCCTAATGAATCAGGGATAATTGAGAGTGGTGTATCGACTCGTAATAATGAGTCAAAAGGCTCGGAATTAAATTTAAGCGACGAGTTTCACGACTGCGATGTTACGAGCTACGTGAAGCCAGCAGAACGTTTCGTGGAAAAATTGTTGAACAAAGGTGCCAGAGCACCTGATGAATTCGTGCACAAGACAACACCATTTCCAAAATACCCTAGACGAATGCCCAGTAATGAAGCTCTGGGTTCACCTGAAGACCCCAAAGCCCTTGAACATTTCACTGAGGAGAAACTCGTCCCTAATGAATCAGGGATAATTGAGAGTGGTGTATCGACTCGTAATGATGACTCGAGAGATACGGAATTAAACTTGTCGTGTGAGTCGGACATGCGTGAGGGTAACGTTACAGTGAGAGGCGAGAAAACCGATGGTGTACAGGTGGGAGATAGCGAGGACGTTGATTGCGAGTGTAGTAGTAGTAGTGGGGAAAGAACGGCGGAGCGGGGTAAGTCACGGTATCGTTCAGTCGAGCGACGCCCGCCCACTCGTAAAGAGAATGGAGAATTTTCACCGACATTTACATCGTCCTCACACCAGCCCGTTAAAACGACTAATTTTGGTTCCTGCAATAAGTACAAGAGTCTCGTTATGATAACACAGGGTACGTATCAGCCAGTCAGTGTTATAACTAGTGACACAACGACACTGCTGGAGCCCGATGATACGCAGACGCCCCAGGGATTGGCTGGCTACTACCATCTGGCGTTGGAGGCTGTCACAGACACACCGAGAAGTGGACAGGGGCCTAGACGCCCCTTGATGGTTAAGAGACTGTGTGCAAATACTCAGGAGCAGGAGATCGACAGTGGACTGAGTGTGGGGAGTGCTAGTGAGAGCGACGATGTGCAATCTGTTAAGAATACGTTGAATTTTAATGTTAAGAACGATAATGAGGAGAAAGAGAAAACGGAAAATTCCGGGAATAGGGGTGTGAATAGTTCCAGTGGGGTTGTTATACTCGAGGAGGGACTGGCTGATGATGACTCTTGGGTGGAGGAGGTGTCACACGACGAGGATGAGCAGAGTGCAACAGCCACTGAGGAGAGCTCTGAGGACGAGTGCAATAATCTTGGGGACAGGGAGGAGGAGTTGAGGGGGTATCATCGACAGGCCATTGACTTCACACTTCACACGATTGTCGAGGAGTCGTGTGAGGAGAGTGAGGCTGAACCGAGCTTGGGCTCGGGGAATTTCAGGAAAAGACAGAGGCCACCTTCCACCTCGGAATTGGAGAAGTACTTTTTCTTCGGTCTCGGTGGTGACGTCAGTTCTGGCGGTTGTAATTCAGGAAGAGAGGTGGACAGTCTCTCTGAGACATCATCGATTTATTCCGAAGGTCTTGAGTCACTGGGACAGGATGAGGTCAAAGAGAAGGGAAGTGATTTTTCGAATTCATCGAGATTGGAGAAGTATTTTCTATCGGAGTTTCTGGGCTTCGATCAGGACAGGAGGGACTCTGATGGGTCAGTGGGGAGTGACTCTGAGGGGCGACCCAGTCCTGAGGCGCAGAGGAGAAAGCGATTGGTGAGAGCAAGGGGCACTGGCAGATCTCACAGTTCATCTTTAGACAATTTGCTAGCTCTCACCCAGAGCTCGCAGAATTTAACCTCGCAGAATTCACTTCAGGACTTGAGTATGAATCAGGACTCCCAGGAGACGCAGTCCGAGGGGTCGTCCACTGAGACCGATGGGGCTGAGGACGCTCAGACCCCGGTTTTCGGGACTGACGGACAATTCGACACGGTGAAACGAAAGAAGAAGAAACCGAGGACTTTGGGAACTCAGAGCCCACGAGTCGTCGAAGACAGGAGCAATAAGAGTCCCGAGCCACGTGAATCATCGTTTGCAAAGTCCTCTGAAACCCTCACCAACGATTTGGAACAGCTGATACACTCCGACGACGAGAGATCGAAAACACCTCAACCAGAGCTCAACAGTTTCCCTTCCTCCTCCACGTCCACTTCATCGTCATCGTCGAGTCCAGACAGTGAATCCAATTTTGGTGACACTCGAGGCAAGCAGCAGTCGAGGGACTCTGGCTTCGTTGGAAGTTGCGATGATCTCCTGCAGCACCGAAAGTCCCCCACAGACCCCAAATTTGATGGATCCAAGGACTCCACGAGTCAAACCAAGAAGGAATCAGGGGCAAAGGCTGATTTATCCCAAGCACAGAATGGTCTTCCCCCCACTGGCAACCCCTCACTGTCTCGAAAGGACAGCTTCAACAACTGGTCCAGCGACGAGGAGACAAACCTCATGATGTCGAAGATGCGCCAGTTCTTCAAAACAATGGTAGCCAACTCAAACGTCCAGCCAGCGACCCCTGCGAGCAATTCTACTGGCCCCTCCCCAGTGCCAAGTCCCAGATTATCAGGCTGCCCATCCTCAAAGTCGAGAATGTGCCCCCAGAACCGAACGAAGCCACCGCAGCTAGTTTACTTCGAGAACGAGTTAACGAGACTGATGAAAACAGTTCCAGGGATCAGAGACGAACAAGTGAGGGAGATTGTCGAGTACCTGAGCTCCGAGGACACCTGGTCGGACTCCTACGACAGCTCAGACTACACGAGCTCCGATTTGGAAGGGGCAAGTGGCAGAAGATCCGCTCTCCAGGAGCAAATATCCCAGAGTTGTCAGCAGATAATCTCCAAATTCGACATGACCTCAGACACCCCCGAGAAGGCGAAAGAGTCCTCGGAGAACCCCCTGAAGCCGCAGTCGTCGGTGGGTCGAGACACAGCCTTCGTCTACCAGAAGCTCGTGCAGAGCTTCACGAAGATGACGGGTGACGGTGTGTCGTCGGACGCCTCGTCGACCCCTCACAGCAGTCCCCCCCTGATCGCCAAGGTGATGCACCACATCGGCTCACGACTGGTGGCGCTGATGCACGAGGTCTCCGAGGGCACGTCGACAGTCCAACCCCATCCGAATTGGCGTCGCTACTCCCAGCACCACAGAACCCCCTCATCCGCGTCGACAACCGAGGACGACGAGTCGACGTCTGACTCGACAGTCCCCAGTCACTTTCAACTGCCAAGATCAAAGTCCCACGATCCTCTGCTGCTGATAAACGGGCATCCGACAGCAGCGACCGGGCAGGAGGGCGAGGAGAGGGAGGCGAGTGATTACGAGAGGTTCTCATGGCGTGGCAGCTTTGAGTCAGCCCTGATGGCTGCTGATTCGAGAACAAAATTGAGTCTCCTCGCTTGTTCTGGGGATGTCAATGCCAGTGCGAGTGCAAGTGCTTTGGCAATGGCTGCTAAGAGAAGAAGTGCTGGGGATCTGCTGTTCAATCCCAAGAGTTTCTCGAGGGAACAATTGGACAGGGTGAGAAGTTGTGGGTCCATTGGTGGGGGCAATGGCATCGGTGGGGGCGTGAGTGTTGGGGGCTCCATCGAGGAGAAGATCTGGAGCAATAGGAGATCTTCAGTGCCTGACGCCAATACCAGAGGGGAGTCTGGGGCCTCTGCTGGGGACGAGGACACTGAGGACGAGCTGGAGTACACGGGGGACCCCAGGGCCACTACTCTGCCCAGGGGAATGCAGGTGACCACCAGTGGCAATGCTGCCACCAACTCGTTACCGAGGCTGCCAGCCTCCAGTGCAACTGGTGGGGCCAGCATGATGGCTAATACGGCCATGCACAAGGCACACAGCATGTATCATTTTCTGCCACAACACACGAATGTCAAGTCTGCGAGGTACAGACCCCCGGGCTTTGCCAGGAATTCGTTGAGCAATTCGGCTGCTGGCGCTGGGACCGTTGGACCGAAGCGGGCGTTCAGCGCCCCGGGACTGCAGATACCAGGGTCACAGGCTGCTGGAAAGAGAGAGTCTTCTAGGTCGCGCAGACAACAAGCCATTTCGCTCGCGCCAGGTAAATTTATTTTAGGTGATGGTAATCAGGTGGTTCTCGGTATCTGGAGATCTTCAAGGGCGTGGGTTTAATCACGGGCTTGGCGGATTCATTGAGTGCTTGATGGGCGGGG